ACCTAATTGATTCCTCTAATTTCCTTCCTTCCTTCCTTCCTTCCTTCCTTCCTTCCTTCCTAGCTTCTAATCTGGATAGAACCATCTACATACTACTCCTTATCCACCTGATTCATTCCTCTAATTTCCTCCCTCCCTCCCTCTCTCCCTCCTTTCTTTCATTTCCATCCCTCCCTCCCTCCCTCCCTTCCATCCACAGACTTTGGGAGAGGTGCACTGATTTACACCTTGAAAGTCATCTGATAATTATTAAGGAATACAGTTGTTACAGTGTCACAAGAGAGCCATGATAATACGCGGGTGGAGGAATTTTACATTGAACAAATGAAAAATATTATTTTCTGCATGAAAAATATTGCCTAAATATATCTGGACACGAGTTACATTTTCCATTTGCTTTATTCCTATACTCTTGAGAACGACTGTAATATATAAATATATATATATTATTTCCTCTGCATCACAGGGAGAGTCACCCCAGAACAGCTTCACTCGTATATCCAGCTCTTCAAAAAGAAATTTGACGCTCTTGAAAACCACTGCGGGCTTTTGCAGATCGCACTGGCTGTGGTGCAGACTCTAAAAGACCCCCAGAATGCCAAATGGGACAACTTTCTAGCCTTTGAACGGCTGTTTGTGCAGGTACCGTACAAGCTGAACTTTGTAACTGTTTTTTAGGAGTAAGACGTTGCTTATGCTGCTTTCTTATTTTACTCCTTATGTGTAGGTCAGGGGTCAGCAACCAGCGGCTCTGGAGCCGCACGTGGCTCTTTCATCCCTCTGCTGTGGCTCCCTGTCGCCAGTCGGCACCACAATTTTGAGGGAAGCTTCCGGTTCGGAGAGGGGGGAAAGCACAGTACGCCAGGAGGAGACTCTATGGCAAGGGGAGGGTTTTCCGGTCAGCTCCACAATTGTTAGGGCTTCCGGTTAGGACAGATAGAGGAAAAAGGGGGCCACACTAGGAGGAGACTCTATGATGGCGGAACCGGATTTCTGGTTGGCTCCAGAATTGAACAGGGGGCTTCCGGTTAGGACCTTTGTGGATCTTTGAGTGTTTAAGGTTGCCAATTCATTAAAAAGCAAAACGGAGATGACTTGAGCTGCCTACCTCAAAGTTAAGCCAGAGGAGTTTCTGCCAGGGCGAATGAGAAGCAGAACGAGGGAAGAGTTCCTGCCGGTCCAGAATAGATTACAGTGAGGTTTTTGCAGATCTGTAGCACTTCAGGGAGGAAAAATCGTTTTGCTGCAAATTTGCACATACTGCGGCAGAACAAATGATGACCGGGGCTATTCTGAACCCTCTGAGGTGTGGTTTGCCTGGAGTTCAGACACTGTTTAGGGCTAAAGGGGATACCGTGGTCCAGTGGTGGGATTCAGCCGGGGTAACAACTGACTCGCTGAGCGTGCGCTCCAAATGCATGCTCTGCAAATGCGCGGCGCGTTTGAAAACAGTTCTAACACTTACCTTCTATTGCAGCCCCAGTGGGTAAAACAGCTGAGGCGCAGCAATCCTCTCTGCCACGCCTATCAGCTGGGCTTCAAACAAAGGAAATAGAGGACAGATTAGCGCAGGGGCGGGTGGGTGGGGCCAACTGATCGCCAGAACTACCGGTTCGCTCAAACCGGTTCAAACCTTCTGAATCCCACCCCTGCTGTGTCTTGAATTGCCCCTTGGTGAAGGGGGAAAACTCTGGAATAAGAACAAGGACTGGTCAAACATGAGTGAAACCATTTCGTAATACCCTCCTCTTTTGTGACAATAGCAAAGCCAAATCCATTCTAGGGGACTGGAGGAAAATTGACAAGGCTGCTGTATCCGTCAGATAAAATCACTCGGATTCATTCTAGATTAGATCCGGGTTGCACAAAGATTGTCCCTTTGAGGACAACTACAGCTCGGTCTGACGTAAGTATCTTTTGGAGGAAATTTGTTGAGAAGAGGATCAATTTAAGAGCCACAACAGAAGCCAGAAAATGTATTGTTTAAGCCATGTGGTCATTAAGTGAGGCATCGTGTGACTATACCCAGTGTTATCTTTTGGGCCATGGTCATTAAGTGAATCGCCGTCGTTGTTAAGTGACTTGTTACCTTCCTTGCCGGCTTTCAAATTGACTTTGTTTGTCAGAAGCTGACTGGGAAAGTCGCAGGTGGCGATCACATGACTGAAGGACGATATGACCATCGTAAATGCACAATCATTGCCAGTAGCCGGAATCATAGTCATGTATTTGTGGGGACACCGCAGCTGTCTTAACACAGGCATTGGTCCTTAGTCATTTTTTTCAGTGTCATCTTAACTTCAAATGAATTAGACTTAGATTAGAGTGGAGTAGAGTAAAGTATAGAAGAAGGGAGAGAGGAGAGGAGAGAAAATGGATAGGATAGTATAGGATAGCAATGTGCTGCACATGGGGTTGCCCTTGAAAATCTTGGGGAAGCTGCAGTATAAGACGTTATGGGTGCCCTTTGTAGGCCATCCGGATCAGTGGTGAAATTCAATTTTTTTACTACCAGTTCTGTGGACGTGTCTTGGTGGGCATGGCAAGGGAAGGATACTGCAACATCTCCATTCCCTTCCCACTTCAGGGGAAGGATATTGCAAAATCTCCATTCCCACCCCACTCCAGGAGAAGGATACTGCAAAATCTCAGTTCCCTACCCACTCCAGGGGAAGGATACTGCAAAACCTCTATTCCCACTGCACTCCAGGGTAAGGATACTGCAAAANGGGTTGGACTAGAAGACCTCCAAGGTCCCTTCCAACTCTGCTATTGTATTGTATTGTATTGAATGTAAATCACACAACCATGGGTATGCTGCTACGGCCATAGGTATGGGAAATGGTCATAGGTCTCTTTTTCTAGTGCCGTTGTAACTTTGAACGGCCATTAAGTGTTGTAACTCGAGGACTGCCTGTACTATCAAGCCGTGAAGTGAAGATTTAGTGCAACTCTGTTTTGACACATTATTAATAAAAAATGCTTAGAACAGGATAGGCAAACTGATGCCCTCCAGCTGTTTCCAGTTATAATTCCTATCCCTTTGAATTGTTCCGAGACTCTGGATGGTGGAAGCATAACTAACTTTTTAAATCGTCATCATCATCGTCCTTATTATCCCTTGCTTTGGTTGCCAAAAACATCTGGGAGGCAGCTGGTTGTCTATCAAATATTCAGTTTTTTCATCAGATATATGCCTCTTAAGCTAGGGCCTCTGTATTGCCTTGTCACAGAACATGCTGATGTGCTCCAGATGTGTTTGGGTCTAAGGCTCCTCAAACTCTCAACAAGTATGATCATTGGGAGGTGCCTCCTGATAGAAGCCAGACCTCCTACTGTCAGATAGCTTTGATGCACTGTCACAAATAAAGATGACTTAGACGGATGGCCCAATGTTCCTTGGAGTATTTCGTGTAAGACGAATGTGAATTTTCGCAACATCAAGGATGATCTGTATGTTTTAAGAGGGCTTTCTACGTTTATTTCTACATACCATTTCTTTCTTTTTAAAAAAATATTTATTGAATTTTCTAACATTTAAAAGAAAAAAAACACAAAACACAAATTTAGACTTAATAGCAGCTTTTCCATATCGGTATCCATATCTTTCTTAACAATCTTATTTACAAAAAATTCTATCTGTATCATTGTACTAAGTATTATGCTTATTTAAATGCTCTCTATATATTATACTTTTACCACTTGTAGCTTAAGTTTTATGCTTACTCTCAAGCCATCTATTCCAAATTTGATAGTACTCGGTTTCTTCCCCCTCCTTCATTTCCACAGTCTATCCATTTCTGCACAATCATAGATTTTCCTTCTTATAATTGGGTCTGGGGGGAGCATCTGTTTGTTTCCAATTCTGTGCTAAAATGATTCTGCTTGTGGTTAATATGTGTAGTATTATGTATTGTAATTTTTTTCTCCATTTTCCCATCAAAGATTCCCAGGAGGAACAATTCCGGCTTCAACTCTATCCTCTTTCAGTTATCTCTTTGAGCCACTTACACCACACCTACATACCATTTCAAGCTAACTACATTGTGTTCAATTATTTTCACTCTCAGACATGTGGGTGCTGGGCAGGGGTTTGAACTTTCAAACCCCTGCCCAACAAGTTCCAGTCAAACCTGGAAGCTTTCAGATTCAGGTTTTCCCAGCTGTGCCAATATGACATCTCTAATAAAATGGAACTTTGAGAAACTGCCTGCCTCGGAGTCTTACCTGGTTGGGGGGTGTTACCTGGAAGCCTGACGCATAAATTTTGAGCTCAATTGTGGTCGTACCTCAAGGACTACCTGTATTGGTTTTTCAACCTGACCTTGGGCTTCAGTTGCTGTTATGACACACTCCATTTTTTAATAAAACCATGCTGTTAGATATATCAGTTCCTAATGCCATGCTTATAATACCGTGCTTCCCCAAAAATATGATGTGCTGAAAATAAGGCCATGTAATATTTTTCAGGTGGGCAAAAATATAAGCCCTCCTCCGAAAATAAACCCCTTGGACATCCCCCCTCCGGCCAGGCAGAGCGCCACTCACTGACCTAGGGGTATCCCGAAGGCGCCATGCCGTGGTGGGCAGGGAACAGGCGCTCACGTGGCTTGGTGCTTTCGGGATACCACTAGGTCAGTGAGTGGTGCTCTTGGCCAGCTGGAAAGGGGGGTTCCCGGGCGGCCACTCGTGAGCGTGGTCACCTCATAACTGCTGTGTTGCTGCTGAGGCTGTGCCTTGCTCTTTGGGAGCACACACGCAAGAGAGCAGCCACCCAGAAACCCCCCTTTCAAAACAATAACCCCCTCCCCCGGATAATAAGGCCCAAGCCATATTTTGGGGGTCAAAAGAAAATAAGACCCTGTCTTATTTTCGGGGAAACACGGTACGTTATCAGTTCCTAGATTCTTACCAACCAAAAAGAGGATCTATTTTAAAAGAGGGAAGAAGGAGGTAGGGAGGAGGAGGAGGAGAGAGGGAGAAGGAAGTGAGGGATAGGATACAAATATGGTGTATGGAGAGCAGAAGAGCCAATAATCTTTTTGGAGGGTTGATGGTAAGACGCATTGATGTAAACATTTAATAAGAGAAAATAATATTGGTTACGTAACAGTATACATGTGGTTATTTGTTATGGAAATGGAAAAATTAAAAAAAATTACATAAAAAAAGTTGAACCATATTTCTGTACTTTAAAATACCTTGGCATTCTGCAATATGGACATCACCAAACCTTTTTGATTTTTAACAGATGCTAGTCTAAACGTGGTCCATTTTCCTTTCGTTAACAGAGAACCAGCTGCGAGGACTCTGTGGGAGTCCTTAATGAATCTAAAACAGAAGGAAGGTTTGATGGAAGTGAGAAGACACCTGGTGGAAGCCGCCAGCCGAGAAAACTTGCCAATCAAGATGAGCATGGGTGAGCCCATACGCCATTAACTAGCTCCACTGCGGATGCACTAGAAGTGACATGACTTACTAATGATCATTCACTTGATAAGTTGGGCTTGTTCTCATTGGACAGGAAGCTAGATTCTCTGAAGTGATTAGGGTTTTGATGCCTTTGTTACATGGAGACCATTTCTGTGGATTCTGCAGACATGCAGTCAACTATCTGTTTTGGGGTTTTTTGTAATGGAATT